ACATTTAATAAATATAAGTCTCTCCCTTTAAGATATTGATGTCATTATTATTCTTGTGGTTATTATTGTGATACAACAGATGCCTCAAAAACAGATGCCAGCAATGATGTCAGGAATTTTGCTAGTTCTTTTACATACACTATTTCATTTCTGTAGCTAAAGAGACTTGTTTCAAGGAACACAGCTAGGAAGTGACGAAGCCAGCATCATAAACAAGCACAGCCTAAATGAAAAGTCCATATTCTAAGGGCAACATTTCTACTCGCATTTTCCAGAGGTGGAACCCTGGAGGCTCAGAGACCTTACATTAGCTCACCAGGCAGAGTAATGCCTGCTGGAGTCAGCGAACTTTTCTCTATTCCTAGCCCATGCTACGGTGATGTGGTCATTTGGAAAGAGAAACCCCTATGGAGCTGGACCTCCCACCCCTCCCCTGCAGTGGCCCAGCCATGGTGAAATGAGGGCCCAGCAGCTCCAGATACTGTGGGCAACAGATAAGAAGGGAAGGAAGAAGGAAACTGCATCTGGATAAAGAGAAAACCCTATGCTTTGTGTTCAGAGAACAGCTAGATAAAGTTTCCAAAGAAAAACCCATTGGCTGAAAATAAACATGGAAAGAGTTTCCAAATCTCTGTCTCTCTCTGTCTCTGTCTCTCTCCCTTTCCCTTTTCCGCTCCTTCTCTGTTTGTTTTGGAAGTTGAGAAAAGTAAGCAATGTGGATCCTAAAGCAGTTTACACTGAACCAGATGGCGCATCTGATTAGCATCAGACTAAAAAGACACATTACTTAGAGATTAGGTTCTCATAGGGACAAATCTGTTCCAAAGGACCAGAAGGCCTGGCTTCCTCACAGCCTCCCCTCAGAGCTCTCCCAGGGCCTATCTGTTCCTCCGTCTCCCATCCTCACCACCAGGCAAGTCTGAGCTTGGGCTGGCGAAGAGAGCAAATTAGTCTGCACAGATGTCCCAGTTCTCCTCCCACTGTCCCTGTCGTCATTCACACAGGGCCAGTCACTCCGCCGGGACCTTGACTGCTGTGACTCGACTCCCTTGCACTCCAGACTAACAAGCCACATTATGCCCCTGAGTCTGAACCACAGCCCAATGAGACCCATGCTGTGGTTATTTAGAGAGGAGGAAATTGAAATTTAAAGGGATTAGGTAATTTACTCAAGATCACAGGCCAAGTAAAAGTCAAAAGCAATTGCCTCCAGGAGAGAAAAAAAGGAAAAAAGTGCATGCATGGGTCCATGTGTGCATGCGTGCGTGTGTGTTCTGAAAGAGCCCCAAGGAGCAAATCATGATAGAGGATGGCTGTCAGGTGCCCCCAACTCTATGTTGAGGCTGCAGCAAGGGAAACAGTAAAGTGAGAAACTATTCACACCTCGCCCTGACCTATACTTTTCCTCCCAGACACACCTGGCATGGGTGCTCTGTAAAATACTCCAGGGAAATGAAATAAAACCTGGAGAAACTATTCAAGACCAGAGTGGGAAGCACATACAGACCAGCCCTTTTAAGTCCCCTGTTTCTCAGACCCTGAGGAAAGCATGTAGGTTCCAGGGAAACAAAGATGCTTGGCTCAGGGTTACGTGCAACTATTAGACATGAAGGTGTCCAGCCAGCATGGCTCAGTGGTTGAGCGTCGACCTGTGAACCAGGAAGTCATGGCTTGATTCCCGGTCAGGGTACATGCTCGGGTTACAAGCTGAATCTCAGTGTGAAGCATGCAGAAGGCAGCCAATCAATGATTCTCTCTCATCATTGATGTTTCTCCCTCTCCTCCCTTCCTCTCTAAAATCAATAAAAATATATTTAACAAAAAAACATGAATGACACCCTCACTGAAGGAAATCCAAAGGTCAAGGTGGAAGTTGGGAAAATGAAAGCAGCAGCAGAAAGAATAACCACAATGCCAGGAATAACAGTGGCCGCTGGGAATGGGACATTATTCTGTGACAATGATGTACTATCCGTCTCATTAGCCCACACAACAGCCTTCCAAGACAGACACACACAACACTGTTATTGTTTTTCACATTCTATGGATGAGCTTACTGAGGCTCAGAGAGGTTAAGTAAGTTGCCCATAGTCCCACAGCTGAGAAGGGGCTGCATCAGGAATCTAACCCGGGCCTAGTTAGACCCCAGAATGAGTAGCCCTAAGCAGTGAAGTTTCTCCCCTTCTCCATAGGATCCTCCTGAAGACAGGCCAATAGGACAGGCGGCCAACATTTCAGAGACTGCCTAAGAGTTTCGGACCCTCTGCTGATGGCAATGCTCAAGGCTGTGAGTGTGAGCTGACATCACCCACAATAATCCAGACAATTTGCACAGCTTGCAGGTGAAACTGGTACAGGCACAAAGCAAATCAGGTCCCTGAGGCTCAGGACGCTGCACAGGGAGAACAGGAGGGATCTCATTACAGCTCAGGCTTGGCCAAGGAACCCAACTCACCTCACGGACGGGTATGAAGGGAGTGCTCACACACAGGCACCCCGGAAGCACGCATGGATTCGGACTGTTTTCATTAAGAAGGGGGATGAGCTGAAGTTTCCCTCGGGGGTTCTTTTGGGAAGAGGGTTCACTTAGCAAATGAATAGTGGGAGAGGAGTCTCCTTAAGCTGTGCATACAGCACACTGCGTTCACGTGTGAGCCAAAGACAGGAGACTAATTACACGTTGCCTCCTCTTTAAAATGGGCCCCCAAAGGGCTCTCTGCTCACCCACTTCTAACATCTGTATGTGTTGAAGCTAAGAATTTTGCATTACTGTTGTAGCTGTGTACAGCACTGGCCTTCTGTCTGTTAATATTCATCAGAGGGTTTTTACTGAATCTGAAACTCAGAGACGCAGCAGGCCTGGTGAGCAGCAGCTGTGCAGCTGGCCCTGGGACTATGCTAACCCTCCGGGGCCATGGCCCAGCCCAGGAGATGTGGCTGTGGTAAGGAATTACTCCGCCTTCCGCCAGGTTGGAGCTGATGCCCCGTGCCCCACCCGGGACGGTGCCCACACTCCATCCGGCCTTGACACTGAGCAGGGCCCGACAGTGACAGCAGCTCTGAACAATGAGGAGAGCTGAGTAACCCTGCTCTCTGATGCCTGTGCAGCACCACATGGAGCCAGCGCTGTCCTTGTCATGTCCCTAGGAGGGGACAGGATTCATCTCTACAGTGACACCACCTGAGATCCAAGAAGGGCCTGCCAGGGCAGGAAGGGGCAGGCATGTCTCAAAGCTTTCAGCGTGAGGGCAGTTGGTTCCAATGTGGAAGTCAGAACTTGAAAACCATGGCACATTCACTTGAAAAAAGCTAGTAATAAAAAAAATGCAAGGACACTCACCAGGATTCGTGTCCAATCACCTTGCACAAGCCACCTTGCACAAACAAAGCATAGATGCATTGCATGAATCTGTTGTCACACATCTGTCTGAACAGTCAGGAAGCCACAGACATGAATATAAAATCACAACACTTTCTTCCCATGCCCTTGTCTTATCCTCAACTCCAGGGCCTCCCACAGCGACTTTGGATGCACCATGTTAACCACGCATCGGGGAAGAAATGTTTACAGCAAAGTGGTTCCTGGTTATTTCAGTGATTACCAGGCAATTTACATAAATATTCAAGCTTCACTCTGCATGAATTCCAGTTGGGTGCTGACTGACCCTCTGCTTCCCCAGCCCCTTGTTCCTTTCCCAGGGGGCTTACTGACACCAGGAAGGACAGAGAGGGACCTAATTGGAAAGGGTTGATCTCGGGCTACAGAGAACACTGCTAGCCCTCGAGTCACTGTTTCTACCCTCACAGACAGGCGTGATGCCAGGAAGGCTGAGTGTGGCTGGAGCTGCGGCGGACAGTGAACAGAGACTTCTAAGTCCTATCTGGTCTTCTCTGGGGGAGGTGTGGCCACCTAACTCTCCAGCCTCAAAAACAGGAGGCCCTTGACAGTGGAGTGCTGGTTAGGACTGCTGGTTACCAGGTCAGTTTGGGTGAGCAGGAGGCTGACCACACTCCTGTTCAAGTCCATGGCCATGCCCTGCTCTCCAGGAAATAGCATTAGTGAGGGAAGGAAGGCGAGTGCAGGGTAGTTGTGTGACATGCTACTGTTTGAGCAACAATAATTAGAGGCTAGGGGAGGATGTGTTGCATACAGTTGACACTTGAATGAGGGTGTGAGCTGCACAGGCCCACTTAGACTTGGATTTTTTTCAATTGGCCTGAGCAGGAGTGCCGAGAGCCTGTGAGAACAGTGTCTCCCACCTCCTGACCTGTGGTCAGTTGACGCTCAAAGTTTAAGCAAAGTGTTGTTAAAGGATCAACTCCACGGTTTGGAATCCATGTATCCAGAGGCCCTGGAAGCAAACACTGGAGACTGGGACCCCTGGGTTGCCTCTAGGGAAGGGGACCCAGTGGCTATGCATGGGTCTGGGGGCATCTCCTGCAGGTGGCACCCTCTCAGACCCTGGCATTTAGATCCTATAAAATGCATTACCTATTCAAAGATGATTCCCATTTTTAAAAAACTAAAAGAGAAAATGAATTCCCACTCCATCAGAATCTCTGAGATGGGTTGTAGAAATCCACGTCTAAACAAGCTCTCCAGGTCATTCTTACCCTCTGGAAATTTTGAGAACTTCTCCATAACAGGGTCTTTCTACCAAAAGCAGCTTCACCTACTTCCTCTCAAGTTGAAGAAATAAGCAAAAAACCATAGAGTAGAAAAACCAAAACACCCCACTCCAAATTTACCACCTCATTAAACTTTCTCAGGAGAGACAAACGATGCCACCCAAGCTCTTCTACAATCAGTTTAGATTCTGGTATCTAAGTTGTCAGTTTAGACACTTTTCTCATTTACTCCGATTAAGGGAGTGGTTAGAGAGCCGGTCTAGTAATTGGGCAGATTGCTCTGTCCAGGCAAGCATGTACGGAGCAGGATCACGTGAGGAGTACCTGGGGTTTGTGGCCCCGCCCACCCAGCCAGGCCGCTTTGCACTCACCTTGCTTTTTAAAGAGGTTGCTTTGGACTATCTCGTTCATGGACTGGACTTTCTGCTTCTGGAGTTTCACCGGGGGGATGCAGGTATAGAACTCATACAGGAGTTGGCTGAGGCAGGAAAACAGGAGACAGAGAACCAGTGAGACCAGTGTCTCCAACATCATGGCACTCAGAGCCCACCCCCAGACTGCCAGCTTCCGTGGCCCCCCAATTCCTAGCAGAGCATCAGCTGCTTAGTAAACTTTCAGTAAAGATGCACAGTTGGTCTTGATGTTGAACACCAATAGCATGCAAAGACGTGAAAATCTGAAAAGTCATGCCAATCACCCTGAGCACTGACTGTGCATCCGGCACATGTTTTGCCCTTTACATCCATGATGCCCTTTAAACCTCACGACTAACTATGAGACAGCTCCAATACTTATCCCAATTTTCCAAGTAGGATAAGTATTTACAAGGTTGAGAAAGGTTAACTATGTTTCCCAAGGCTACAAAACAAAGGGGTTGAAGAAACAGGGGTTTAAAACCAGATTCTCACTTCATTATCATATCACCTTATTTACTAATGTTTTATGTGCTTAGTAATGCTTTATGATAAGTCTTAAGATCAAACAAGGTCCTTAATTTAAAAAATATATAAAAAGTTGTCGGTTATAACCCACTTGGGACATGAAAAAGAAGATAGCTCTTCCCAAATAGAGTGAAAATAAAACTATCACTGAAACAAAATTATAGCCCCTATGAGCTTTCCAAAATGAGCTCCCTGTGTTCATTCATTCTTTCAAGTACTTATTAAGTATCTACGTAATATGTGACCAGCAACGTGCGGAGTAGTGAGGAGACAATGGGAAGAGACTCCGTCCCAGTGGCATGGAACTTGTGTTCTAATGGAGGCCCACATACGACACAGAAGGAAATAAACCAATGCAAGTGATATATGCAATAAGAAAATAAATAAGAAGTCGTGACAGAGAGTGATGGTGCAGGCTGGGGAAGGAACTTAATTTCTTTACAGAGTTAACTTCTCCAAGAATCTAACATTTAGTTTAAGGCAAGAAAGGAGAAGAAGCCAGCAAAAATTGTCATATAAACAGAAATAGGACATCAGTTAAAAACAACAACCAACAACAACTGGTGAGATCTGAGTTAAGAAAGGGGTACAGTGAGTAGACTTGTACCAGGGTGAAGTTCTCAGTTGTGATAAATATGCCATAGATACGGGAAAGGTGAACATTAAGGAAAGCTGAGTGAAGGGCCTGTGGGAACGCTATACTATCTTTGCAACTCTTTTCTAAATCTAAAAGTATTTCTTCTATATGTTAACGAAGAAAGAAAGGGCATATCTGGCTCAGATGGCTCCACTCTAACAGCACAGTCACATTACAATAGTGTGTTCATTTCATGAGAAGAACAGAGTGAAGAAGGAGTAAGCAAAAGGGCATTTGAAGCAAAGACTGAAACCCCAAATCACCTTCAAGCCCAGGTGAAATGGAGACATTTATACCGGACATCAGATGGAGTGCCCGTCGGGAATCCCCCACAGGAGCCCTCCTCTGCCTCTGAGTCCCTGGCTTGATAACAGAGCCCAGGAAAGTACATCATAAGTTCTCACCTGAGTAACTTCGCATCAAAGACCGTTTCCACATCATGGAGGACAGATGGGATGTATTTCAAAGCCGCCACCTAGGTGGGAAGGGAGGTAAACATGAGTGATGCCCACATCCAACAACTCTGCGCGGTGTGGTGAGGAGGATACTTTGCCACTTGACACAGATCAAGGGAGATTGGTCGTGCATCCTGGGCACAGCTACAGTGATTTGAAACTCTCTATGTAGATTAAAACATAGGCAGGCATATACTCTGTATACAAAAGTAAGTCACAACTGCCTCTGTCTTCAAGGAGGCAGTAATGTATAGAAAATCCACAGACTTGGAAGTTATACGGCTCTTCAGTCAAATCCTGGTTCTATTTAGTAAGCCACCTGGCTTTGGACAAAACAACCTCTCTGACATCTCAATCTCCTCAGCTGTAAAACTGAGGAAATAAAACCTATTTTTCAGGATTGTGAAGATTAAAAATACAAATGGTAACTTCTATCATTATTGGAAGATGGGGTGCTTGAATTGTTTTGTTGGTAGCGAGGATGGCTTTGGACCGAATCATGCAGATTTTCTCTCCTTGGCCAATGTGTGAACAATTGCGGGCACATCTTGGTCCACTAGCTGGTGTGGGGGAACTGGGCCTCATGGTGGATTGTCCTTCCCTCTGTGCACCTTGACTGATGCACCCAGAGGCAGGAGGCACCACCGCCCTCTCACATGGCAGAACCATTTACTAAGCAGCAGAGGGAACTGCCATTCCCCTAGAAGGAGTTGTAAGTCACATGGCTATAAAATAATGTTTAAGAATCTAGGGAAAGTGTGAATTTTTAATTTACTTTTTATTTTTCTGTATATTCTAAGTATTTTACAGTCAACAAGTATCACCATTTTATAGTCAGACCGAAATGAAAAATAGTAAAAATTCCTTTCTTAAAGAAAATCACATCCTAGTCATATGCAAGTCAGCTTCTTAGTCAACATACATGATTAGGACTAGTCTCTGAGAAAGTTCAGTGGGGCAGAAACCACGCCAAATGTCACTGCTAGGTTCCTTTGTTAAACCTTTGTGAAAAGTGGCCTAAGCAAGGCCATTCTGGAGGAGCTGCCCAGCCCCTCCTATACCTTCAAACCTGGAATGTTTGAACTGGGCAAATAACATTTAGACTGGCCCAACCAACAGCATCTTACCAACCACTGTTTGCAGAGCTAATGGGGGAAGCACACGAACTAACCATAAGGACTGATGATTACGAACTCTTGGAGATGGAATCAGTAACCAGGCTTGTCTGGCTATAGAATAACTCAGTTTGCTGACACCAAAAGAAATTCCTTTATGCTATGCATGTAATCATTGCCCTTCCCCTTTATCATAAAATCCCTTTGCCTTCACTCTGTAAACAGGACTCTATTTGGGTTTCTGCCTCAATCAGGGTTCCAAGAACTGCAATTCCTTCTTTTAATATGTTTTTATTGATTTTTAGAGAGAGAGGAAGGGAGAGGGATAGAGAGAGAAAAACATCGATGAGAGAGGAACATCATCAATCTGCTGCCTCTTGCATGTACTCCTACTGGGGATTGAGCATGCAACCCAGGCATATGTCCTGACCAGGAATTGAACCCACAACCTTATTTGGTCCCTGGGTCAATGCTCAACCACTGAGCCACACCGACAGAATTGCAATTCTTTTTTATCCCAAATAAATGCTTGTTGCCTCCCATTTTGGCTTCTTATTTTAAGTTAAAACCTTAGTTCAGCCCTACCAGGGAATTTTTTTTCATAGATAAAGACCCTCCAGCACATCAATTCAATAACCAGCCCAAGGTCCCAAAGTTAGTGAGTGGGAGAGCCAGGATTCAGCTTCAGGCAGGCGGCCTAGAGAGCCACGGTCTAGCACTGGAGATACATGTCCACCTCGCTCAAATAGCAACTGTCTCTCTCTGTGCCTACATCCTTTTCTTCCTGTTCTCTATCATTTTTACATGTCAGTAATACATGTTTTATGTGAAAAATGTGCATACGTTAAAGCAATGGGGTGAAAATTGTCCCTCAAGTCCCACAACTCCATCTCAGCCCCAGTCCCTCCTCCCCAGAAAGGACCACTGTCAACAGCATGGTGAGTTCCTTCCAGACTGCTTTCTATGCACGAGTGTGTGTTTGTATGGGTATGCATGTATGTGTACATGTATGTAATGTTTACAGTTCTGCAACTTGCTTTTTGCAGCTAAACATATACCACTGGTATTTTTGCACATCACTCCATAGAGTGCACTTTGTTCATTTCTAACCACTACACAATGATGCCCTGTGGGTACACTATACCATTTGAAGCCCTCCTCTAAAGGATGGACTCCGTGCTACCTTTAGGTTATCTTTACTATAAAATATGTAGTAAGAAAATACTTGACATATACATGTGTGTATGTGTAAGATTCGCAGTAGGATGAATGGACTGCTTGAGGAGAAATTAGAGTTTCAAAATGTACACACATATATACAAAGGTATACACATATACATTTTAGAAAATAGTGTCATATTACCTCGAAAAGAAGCAATGATCAATTTCCTTTGACTTCTTTCCCTATGACCTTGCTAACCCTACAATATCTTTTTAATTTTGTCAATATGCTATATAATTTGCAATTCTTTGGTTTCGAGTGCAGGTGGTGATTGAACATCTGTATTCAGTAAACTGACTGTCCATATTTTTTCCCTATTTCTCCTTTAGGGGATATCTCACTGGTTTGGGGAATTCTTTATATATCGCTAATATTAACCCTTTCCCAGTGAGATACATTGCACAACTTTTCTCTTGCTTGTCCTGCAGTCCAACTGTTGCTGTCTTTTAGCTTTATCATATCTCTCGTTACACAGAAGGATTTTAATTTGTATCTTGTCAGATTTGTCAGACTTCTTTACAGTTATTGGATGTTGTGTCTAGAGATTTATTCTTTTTTCTTTCAAATCATGATGACAGGAGATAACAAGATTCAAAAGCTGATGTTCCTAAAACTACATCCTTGTCCCATAGGATGGTGTTAGGTATTCTGTGGGGGAAAGGATTTTGCATTCAAATCATTTGGGAAAGTTTGGTTTAAGCAAAGATAAACCAGTGAGTGTATTTTTTTTATTGCAGAGCTTTTCAGCATTTTAATAAGCCAAGATGCATTGTGACATGCCTGCCGGCAGCCACAGTACACCTCGCTGGTCAGGCCATCTTTACCAGGAAATGCCAAGCAGGTAGAGCCAACGCAGATGCCTGCAGGGCTGGTCAAGCAACAGAAAGAAGGGGAATGCGCCCCACACAGGCCAGCGGGAGAGATGCGCTGTGTGGAATGCACACTCTGACCACAGGATGCATTGTTCTGATTCACTGAATTAACACCGTGCCAGCCAGACCAGACACGTCTGCGGCTGCACTTCTCCACCAGCTTCCAGTTCACTCAGGTCTCAGAGACACCGGAGGCTGAGGCACATGCCCTGAAAAAGGCTGGTCCAAGCACTCCGATCGTTTACTCATTCTCAGGCCAATGAACGGAGTCTGGGCCACAGGGACCTGGGCTGGAATCCTGGCCCCGGCAGGTGTAGGACCGGTTCTCCCCAGCACAACCTCAGCATCTCCATGCGGAGTGGGGGGGAAATGGCTTGGAACACAGCGCATCGGGCACCTACTGGGATGCCCAGCAGGCAGCAGGCCCCCAAAAGCGTGTGCGCTGGATCTCTCCTGCATCACCTCTCATGCACCTGCCCTCATTCCCCAGCACCTGGAAGAACCATAATATGAACTCATCCTATCAAAGACCCAAGTGAGAGAACAAAAACAGAAAGAAATGCTGAGCCAGTTGGGGAAGCCTGGACTTCAGCGTAGCATCACCTCCGGGCTTGGGGTAAGGCTATAGAGACAGCCCAGGAGCCTACAGCAGCCTCACAAGTCAGCGCTTCAGCTATTAGTAAGGAGGGGCCGGGCTGGGGGAAGGACCACTGAGGGAGGGACCCACCTTTCCAGCCTCTGAGCTCTGGGCTGGCAATAAAGGAAAAGTTGCCCCCCTGAGACACAGAGGGTGTTATGAACTCAGCGGAAGAGTATTAAACTTCCATCTCGTCTAGGCGCCCTCACAGAGAAGTGGCAGGCTGTGGTTTTCTTTTCCGATGGGGACAGCCCATCTCTGACACAGGAATTTTGCCAAGTCTGTTGTCACAGCCACACTGTCACAGCACAGCATGGCCGCAGGGCTCCTGTCCTGAGTCTTCCCTTCACGCAGCCCTGACACACCTGAGCAGAGGGAGAGCAGGTAGGTTCCCAGAAGGCAGAGCAGCTCAGCCGTTAGACCCGCTGGAGAACCGCCTGGGTGCATGTTTCTATGGCCCGGGGACTAGACACAGCTTCACCTGTTGGCCTCCTGGGAACCGTGTGGCTTTACTGTCGCTGTTGTGTTTATTATATGTGATATTTAAGGAAAACACAGGCAGTATGTTCATGTTTCTGTATGAATATACATGTGTATATATAATAGGAAAATGCAAACATACATAATAGGATTATTAATCATAGGGTTTTAAAATAGCAGCTATTATTGGAAACATTACATGTATCAAATACTTCACCTGCATGATGTTGTTTCATTCTTTCATCTACTTTATGGGTGGACACTGTGCTCTTGTTTTATCAATGCGGAAACTATGGCCGGAGGTTAAATACTTTGCCAGAAACCCTTTAGTAAGCAACACAGCAAGAACATGGGCCTGATGCTGCCACTGACCCTCTGCTTAGTAAAGGCTTCCACTTGGTAAGTGGGGGGATCTCAATGAGGGAGGGAGAGAGGCTGATTTGGGGGCAGAGGTAGAGAAGGCACCTCCCTCTCTTTAGGACCGTAGTTTGTTGTTGTTTTTTTGTTTGTTTTTTTGTTTTTTATTGATTTTTTACAGAGAGGAAGGGAGAGGGATAGAGAGTTAGAAACATCGATGGGAGAGAAGCATCGATCAGCTGCCTCCTGCACACTCCCTACTGGGGATGTGCCCGCAACCAAGGTACATGCCCTTGACCGGAATCGAACCCGGGACCCTTCAGTCCGCAGGCCGACGCTCTATCCACTGAGCCAAACCAGTCAGGGCAGGACCGTAGTTTTTGAAAGAAGGTAGTTTTCTGACATCCCTTAAGTTAAGGACTCTCCTCACCACCGATATGGGAGCTGCAAGAATAGCCACCAGGAAAATGTTTGCCAGGTCATGAATGGGTTCATCATGTGACCCCCAAGTGAATTTCCTAGGTTACTCATCAACTCTGGACCCCTCTTCCAGAGGCCAGGCAGAGCCCCCAAGAATAGAGCCAGATGCCCAGCAAGCAGCGGTGATTTCACTGCTCAGAGAGGAGTCATGGGAGGACACGCAGGATGACTGCTATCCAGATGGACTTCACCAGAATTGATCAACCTGGGATGCTAGCAAACAACGAAGGTTTAAAAACAAACCAAACTGCTGGCATGCTGTCAAAATCAAAGGGGACTTTTCTTCTGAGGGTTTCCAGACTCTCTGTCTCTCTCTGTGAAAACAGAGAGGGCTCAGTCTGGGTGCCAGCAGACACAGACTTCCAGCCAAGAGAGCCCATTGTGCAATGAGGCGAGGCTCCCCAGAGCGCTGACATCCTCCTCACCCGGGAGCGCAGACAGCAGTCCCAGCCCACCCCTTGCCAACCCCTTGATTTTAGCCAAGTGATGGCGGTCAAGGTCCATGGAAACAGGACAAACAATGTCACAGAAATCCACCACAGCATGACGAGAGGAAGGCATGCAACACTCTCGGGGACATTCAGCCTCGTCACTCATCTCCTATGTGCCCCCAGGCCCCTGAGGCTTGGCAGGAGGCAGGCGTGGCTGCAGAGGCAGACTGTCTGAGTTCACGTCCAGCTGGATCATGTCTATCTACTGTCCTTGGGGAAATCAACACTATGTGCTCTAGTTTCTTTGCCAAGAGAATGAAGGGAATAAAGTTACCTGCTTTATAGAGTTGATGTGAAGATTAATTTTTTTTTTTAAGGTGAGCTGTCAGTATATCCACAGCAGCCTCACCGGAACAAAATGTCATCCTTCCCAAATATTAATTCTAAGTAGGGGGTATATGGTTGAGAAGGGGACACGATTAAAGAATCATTTATAGCCCTAGCCGGTTTGGCTCAGTGGATAGAGCATCGGCCTGCTGACTGAAGGGTCCCAGGTTTGATTCCGGTCAAGGGCACATGCCCGGTTGCAGGCTCGATCCCCAGTAGGGGGCGTGCAGGAGGCAGCTGATCAATGATTCTCTCTCATGGATGTTTCTATCTCTCTCTCCCTCTCCCTTCCTCTCTGAAATCAATATATATATATATTTTTTTAAAAGGAATCATTTAAAGACCTGAGGTGACACTCCAGTGCCTGCTGTTAAATATTACATCTCACCTCTCCTACCTCTGGGGATTCAGCATACAGTCCCTAGGCCACTTAAGAATGGACCCCTTTCTTCCCTTAGTTCGGACATCTGAACATTTTATGCCGATTAACAATGAAAAGAGAGTAAACAAAGGGGCAACCTTAATTAGCTCCCCTTCATGACTATGGATCAAATATCTCCCTTTCTTTACTGTTGTTTATTGCTTATCCACCTGACATTTTGCCAAAGACTTGGGTCTTTCATGAAAGGATCCTTGGTTTGGCTGTGATTAGGAACTCAAACTCAGGACTTACACATCCTGGATTCAAATCCCAGGCCTGCCACTTCCTAGTTGTGGTTAAGTTGCTCAGCCTCTCTAAGCCTCCATTTCCTCATCTGCAAAGTAAAGATAAGAGAGGACCTGCCTAATAAAATTATTGTTATAAGTACCAAATAAGCTAACAATATGTGTAAAGTTTTTAGCTCAATGCTTGACACATAATAAATGCTAAAACATAAAATGGTGGAAGTGGGTATGCATTCTTTCATTCAATCAACCAGAAGATATTCTAGTACCTACTACATGGCAGCTGCTGGTTCAGATATTAGAATAAAAGAGAGAGACCCCCCCTCCCCGCCGCCCTCCTGGACCTTCTAATGGATTCATTAGAATGAGTGGTAATTATAGTGACCAAAGAAGCATGTCATACAATATGAGCTTTTCATTTATTTAAACTCATCCCACCAAATTGGAGCAATAGTGAACGGCAGACCTACATGGGAATGGGTCAAATGGGTCTGCACAATGTCTCCAAATGCTACACCTGATTCCCAGGCGTCTGGTGTTGACCGTCTCAAGCTGCCATCCGTTTTATCAACAACGCTTACAGCCTGGCACACACAGGGGCTTCTAGCATATGGCCCATTATTGCAAACACATGGAACCCCCTGGCGTAACCCATTTCTTACGGCTTAGAGAAGAGTATTAACTTTGCAGTTAGGAGACCTGGGTGGTTGAAATCCTAGCTCCACCACTATAAATAGGTATAATTTAGGATTAATTATTTAACTTTATGAGCCTCCTGTGGAAACTGAAGGCAGTGATTCCTAGCAGATTAAAAACACTGTGTGTGAAAGCCCAGCTTCATGCTGGGCACCTGGTAGGTACTCAGGTCAATGGAAGGTGGTTTTAATGCTCTTTCTACCCTCTTTGAATGTCTGGCTTTAAATTCTTCATCGTACTGGGTGAGCTGCTGCCATGACAATGCTGAACAACGAGGGAAAGGTACAGAAAGCCATTCACGAGAGTTAGATGAGCCTTAAAAATGAGTGATAACTTGTTTAGGTCCCAGAACTCACAGTGGACCAAGCCGAGATTGAACCAGACCCGCTCCACTCTGGACTGAGGCAGGCACGGATTTGGGTTTCCACCGTAAGCCACTGGCCAGCTGGGAGTGTAAAGTCTGAACCACGAATGTCAATCATTGGCATTTTTACTGTTTGCCTGTGCTTCATAAGCCAGATGTATAGGTTTGCTAGCTTTGCTTTTTCAATAAAGGTGCATGCTTTAATAAATTGGCTTTTCGCAATGCAGTCACGGTCTCTTGTATAAACTCATTTATATGAGAAGACAAGGATCAGGATTGGTGACAACCCTCTCCCACTGACTCAGGGGGCTGTCAGGAAACACCTTCTCACTCAAAATTTATGACAGACATTACTAATAGATCACAGCACCCTTTCCTGCTATCCCCGACGCAGGCTCAAAATCGGAGGGCCTGCCGTCGGGTAATGCTCCACTAGGTAAAACGTTGTCTTCCTCTATATATGGTCAGTTTTTGTGGCTTTATTCCCCTTGAACTTTGAATCTGTATTTCTTAATCTGACTGAATCTTGAATGCCCTCACACTGTTTGGCTCCATGTGACAGGATTAGGAACACAAAACCCCCTCGCAAATTCCACCCTAGGAAAAGACCTCCCACGCTTCTGTTTTATGGTTAAGGAGGGAGGGGTGCAAATGACTAAAAGTGATTTAAATTGAACTATGCAACAGGCTCTATACATCGTGATTTACACACATTACTTCGTTTAATCCTCTAAATTAGGCATTAGGCTTCCCGTTTCATAGAAGGGTAACCGGAAGTGTGGAGGCCCCATTTCCGACCCCAGGTCCTCTGGCTCAAAACCCAGTGCTCGTCCTCCTGCAGCAGATGTCAATGTCTGAGAAGATTCCTCGTGTGGGGTTTGCTAACATCTCATGGCCTGACCCCTCTCCTTCATCAGCCTGAAACAGCATTAAATTACCTTCAAACGCTCTTGCTCTCCATATCTGAACATGACTTTAAATTCTTCTTTGCCAACTTTTTAACAACCATGCAAATAGGTAGAAAGCATCATTGATTTTATGTAAATCCCTGAAGCTACATTTGGCCCTTAGAGCAAATCATAAAGAGAGGGAGCCCCTTTCTATGGCTCTGGGGTGGGGATCCATGCGGAGAAACCAGCAAAATCGGGGCCAAGTCCCAGGGAAAGCGATATATTCCATTCCTAAACAGCTCCCTAGACAATGAGAACCTGGGTAAAAATGCATAAGCCCAAAGCATAATAATCCTGTGAGTTCACCACATTTGCATAGCGTTTTATAATTTGCTCTTTTTCAGACCATGCTCGTGTACTCCTCACACAAACAGGGAAGCTTCATAGATGAGGAAAAGGAGACAGGGGAGGTTAAATGACCAGCATGAAGTCGTACTGCTGACAAAGAACGTTCTTGCTGACTCAGGTCTCCTCGGTTCTGTAAATGCTCATCAGCTCACCTTGCTTCCTTTCTTCCTTCTTTCCTGTCCTACCTTCTCACCCCCCTGGCCCTTTGTTGTCCCCCAGCCCCCCACAATATGTGCACGTATAACGTCTTCCTGAAAGAGGCTCCTCATTCAAAGGGGGCCCGAGTTGAGGTTGCTGAGAATAAAACTCGGACGATCTGAAGAGACAGCCACCTTAACTACACTCAGCATTAGAAGTGGATCAGGTTTGACCTACTTCCGTCCAGGTAGCAAGAGCTTCAGAGCTATTTTAAGAGGCACTGCTACCTTCATGGGAAACAAACCATAAAAATGCTCTCTCTCTCCTGCCCTACGGAGTCCTTAGTCTTCAGGATCCCTGAACCTATGGCCTTCCCAGACCTTCCATTGACACAGGGCTGCGCGTTCAAGCAAAAGCAGACGTGATCTCACCGTGCTGCCGTTTACCGAGCGGCGGAGGGGAAAGACAGATTGTTTTCGTGGCGTAAACCAACCTGCAAAAGGATGGTGGTTTTGTATTGACTTTTCATCAGGTTGTTGATGGATTCAAAGAGCCGCCTCATGGATTCTTCAAACTCCATCTGTTCTTTGCCTTCGTAAAGCCTGAAAGAAGACACATCTGGGTCACTTCTCAAGCCAACAGGCAATAGCTTTGAAGGTGTGTGCCAGCCACAAACCTCATTTAAAACTGGAAAGAGAATGGGGTGGGAGGTGGGGACTCAGGGGGAGGGAGTGGGCTCAGCAGTCCCTGGTGCATAATCCACTCCAGGGAAACCTCCCCCCGCCACCCCCCCTCACACTGAACAGGCCGCTCCTGCTCCCATTCCCACGGGCTCACATGGTAAACCTGCCCTCACCATCTTTTATTAAGCCCTGCAGAATAAGGAATAAAACGTGTCTGAGCTGAGAAGACATCAATAATGTCAGCCTCCTTCAAGAATCAGAGCAGAGATGGTGATCACCGCATTTTCAAAGTATCGTGCAAAGCATCAAGGAGAAAAATTCTCAATCACACGAGGGTCCCTCCGCTTGTCAGATGATTAGGGACACGCGTATCCCATGTCAGGGCCCTGCTTTCGCTGCCCCGTCACTTCAGGAGCATGCTTATCAGCCATTTTAAACCTGCTATTTCGCTAAATAGAAAGGCCCCATGTTGTTATTGTAAAAAAGGTACTCAAACCAGAACTGCATTGCTTGCCAAGCCAGAGAGCTCACTACTCCTACCAGAGATCAGGAGTGTTAGCATGCTGATGGACGCCCTCCCAGAGATCTTCAGGCCCTGCGCTAATACACACGTGTGACTTTTTATGGAAGCCGTGTCCGATGTACTAGTACAGTGGTCAGCAAACCGCAGCTCGCGAGCCACATGCGGCTCTTTGGCCCCTTGTGTGTGGCCACGAAGTTTCAATCGCACTGTACGTGTGCGCCCGCACATGGTATTTTGTGGAAGAGCCACACTCAAGGGGCTGCAGATTGCCGACCGCTGTCCTAGTAGCTCAGCCTCCACAACCTGAGTCTTATCGCCCTCAGGGCCCCGCCTCGGAGTGTTGCTCAGCGCAAGGCCTCTCCAAACAAGCCTTTATCATCATCTGTGGCATATCCGCGGCCTGACCTGTGGCACCTGCACACAGTACAGAGCGGAAAGCGTCTGTCCCAGCAGATAAGGAGCGTCTCCTGTCTCAGCCCCGCAGTCTCCGCTCCCGGGTGCCGGCTGAGGGGAACGTGCTCCCCGCAGATAAAACGACACACTTACAGGTTTGTTTGCTCTGTGAACCAGACGGGCCCCTTGCAGCCACTTCAGCGCTGTCTCCACTAAATCCCCACCCACCTCCTCGCCCTTCTCGTCTCTCCTTTCTGCTTCTCTTCCACTTACTTTCTTTTTTTTTATTTTTAAAATATATTTGTATTGATTTCAGAGAGGAAGGAAGAGGGATAGAGAGATAGAAACATCAATGATGAGAGAGAATCATTGGCTGCCTCTTGCACGCCCCACGCTGGGGATTGAGCCTGCAACCCGGGCATGTGCCCTGACCAGGAATCGAACCATGACCTCCAGGTTCATAGGTCGATGCTTAACCACTGAGCCATGCTGGCTGGGCTCCACTTCCTTTCTGTGTGCTTCTCTCTGTTTACCTCTGAGCACTGTGCACTCTGTCTGTGAGGGGCTCTATGTTTGTCTCTGCTTCTCTCTCTCTGTCTTTAGTCTTTCTCTCTCTCTTTCTCCTGACTCCCTCCTACAGCCCTCTGGAGTAAGAAGCTTAAGGGTCAGCCAGTGCTGAGCGTGGCAGTGCATTACAGGCCCAGCAATCGCCGCTGACTTCTGGGTGTCTGCCTCAAGGCCACAGAGACAAGGAGCCAGAAGTCCGGGAGCAGCATGTCTCCTCTCTCCCCTCCGACTACCCCTGCTCTCCCCTCCTTCCTTCCCTGATGGCACAGAGAAGCACTTCAGTCAGCCGGCCCTGGGTTCCAGTCTCCATTCTGCCCTGGACTTGCTGCAGACATTATTGATAATAGCCAGCATTACAGAACGTCACTGTGCCCCAGGCACTATCCTCAGATACACACTAAATCACTTACCCTCACAACCACACCATGAGGCGGGCCCTATCCCCATTTTACAGGTTGACAAAGCTTCAGCACCATGTCCAAGGGCTCCCCCCCAATAAGGACAGAGCCAGAATTCAACCCTGGCCTTTCATCAGCCGTGTACTTCGCTGCCTCTCTTCATTCCTGCAAGCCTCAGCTTCTCACCTGCACAATGCAGGTGACAGCTCTATGCCCATGGACGGTGAGGAGACCCACTCACAGGCGAAGTGCCCAGTATATGCTGGGCCAGTAAATGCCAGCTCTCGTCTTGCTGTGGTTAATTGTGGGTGCAGAAGAATAACGTTTCTTGTCATTCCCAGTGCTTAGACGAGGACACAGACAATGCTCAAGAGGTTGCCTGAATCCCATCCAAGTGGAAAAGATGGGACAGGTCTGGCAGGGAGGAAGGGAGGATCCTAATTCAAAGGGGTGGTGGTTGCCCCAAGGGACAGCACTGCTAGTTTTTCTTTGTGCCCCAAGCTAAGCTAATGGAGGGCTAATAGAGGGCCATCCCCCAAGCCTTTTCCCTTGAAATCCATTACTCTTTCCTTCAGTCACAGCCAACTGAGAATCTTTAATGAACATCATAATCCCTGTCATAATCCCAGTTGTTGGTCAGATTTAATACCCAGATGTGGCTGCCCACAGGGGACTCATTATTGTTTACATATGTATGGACTTTCTCTGTAACTTACTTGTGGTTTTGCTTGTGTGTGTGTGTGTGTGTGTGTGTGTGTGTGTGTGTACCACCAGTCTTTTTTTTCTAAATATATTTTTATTGATTTCAAAGAGCAAAGGAGAGGGAGGAAGGGAGAGATAGAAACATTAATGATGAGAGAGAATCATTGATCGGTTGCCTCCTGCACACCCCCACTGGGGATGGAGCCCACAACCTGGGCATGTGCCCTTGACCAGGATCGAACCTGGGACTCTTTAGTCCGCAGGCCAATGCTCTATCCACTGAGTCAAATCGGCTAGGGCACCTCTGGCAGTTTTTTTCTGCCTGTTGACCCTATCTACACTCACACCCACCTCCCATAATAAATAGTTCTAGGTAGCTCTGTCTCTAAAATTTATATTTTTTAAACAGAGAAACATAAAAATGGCCTTTGTCTATATATGAAGGGAGGGGGAGAGAGAGAAACATCAATGATGAGAGCCCCACACTGGGGATCAAGCCCACAACCTGGGCATGTGTCCTGACCCAGAATTGAACCGTGACCTCTTATTCATAGGCCTATGCTCAACTGCTGAGCCACATGGGCCAGCACAAATGGGCTTTTCCTTAATGACACTGCTCTAGGGGGAGGGAGTGTCTGTGAACCCCCGCTGAAGAGATCCCTAAAGCTACCCTGGATCCTGACCTCTCCTGTGTCCGGTTATTTAACTCTTCCCAATAATCCCCCCTTTTTTTGCTTAGACTGGCCCTGGTTGTGTTCCTTACCGCCCCCTTCTAGTCAGAACTCCACAGAGTGGGATGGACTTCCTGGGTCCTAAACCAAGAGCCGTGGGGAGGAACAGTGAGCACTTCGTCCATGCTTCCCACTGTACAGGTGAGGAAACTGAGGCCAAGGTGGGGAAGTGAATTGACTTCACTGCTGTCTTTGAAATGTTATTTGACTGATGTGGGAAGAAAAAGAGACTTGTAAGCTGTGGGAAACTGAATTTAATTTCGGCCAGAAGACGTGTGATTTGCTCCAGGTCGCAGACAGTTCCAGTGGAATAGCTCCAGCCAGAACTCAGCATGCTCCTCCTCCTGGCGGAGGGCAGATGACACAGAACTCACAAGGACAAGACTGGGTGGGGCATCTGCCTCAGGGGGAACCCAAGCTGCTCACTGTCATTTTGTCACAAGTAGGTCCCTTAACACCACGCTCTAGGTCAGGAAGGGAAATGTATTCCACACCAGCCTAAGTTTCACAAAGGATAAAGAATGATTCTGTGCAGAAATGGCTTGCATTTTACACTGGCTACATCATTAGGCAAAACTGTTGCAGTCTTAACAATCGTGTGGTGTAGTGAGTGTGCGTGTGTGCGCGCTCGTGTGTGTGTGTGTGTGTGTGTGTGTGTGTGTGTGTGTGTGATTTTTAAGCCTGGGGTTTTACTTGGTGGGAATAAGAAGTTGGAGGAAATGATTACCTTTGGTAAGAAGAAAGGAAACAAAAGCTATTTAGTTGAAAAGGGCTTTGCTACCCAGCCAGCCTCCTCCACACACTGGCTTTGTGGCTTCAGACAAATGATATCTCTGAATCTTACCTTCCTTATTGAGAAAATGGAAATATAATGCTCAAAGGGTTACTTCAAGGTGAAAAAAATAAGTGAGATGATGCCTTTCAAGTGTTTAATATGGTATCAGGCAGTTAGTAAATGTTAAGTAACTATTAGCTATTCTTGTTGTGCTGTTGATTCCTGAGCAGAGAAGTGATCATATTGGCAAATTTTCTGACCCGAGTATACAGAAATGAAAGGAATATTTTGAGGAAAAAGTGACTCAGAAAAAACACATCAGGGCTTTAGATTATATGGGAGAAATAAATGGGCGATGGAGGGCCATTCAGCACTGTGGGCCTCCCCAGAGAAGCTTGAAGTGCAAAGAAAAATCATGCTTCATCTTTCTGCAAGGCTTTCCGTGTGGCCTTGAAGTCAAGGGCACAGCAGATGCAGCTCCAAGGTCTTCTTGTAGCACCTGGTCTCTGTTATAGCTTCGGGAGGGAGACATTTGTTCAGGCTTCAGAATGCCTAGGAAGATACTACAGACGCCGGCCGATGGTGCCAGGGAACGGATTGCTGAAGGCCTGAAGGCCCTGGCCACCAGAAAAAACTGCATCCACCTGCAAGGTACCATCCCGGGGCACATGAGGCCGACCTCAGCCTACCCCGCCCCTCGCAGTAGGCGCTCGGGCTCCTAGGGCTCAGGTAACTACAGTGCCACTCAGCCTGCACGTGATTCATTAAGGAGACACTGTGCACAGCTGAGCCCACACCAACTGCAAGTGGGGCCCCGTAGGGTGGTATGT